AGCACAGCCTTGGCTCCACCCATCCTGCAGAGCGCAGCTCTGCAGCAGGTGGCTGGGGCTAGCTTGGAGTGCAGCCCGGTCCAGCCCACCCCACCCCATGCAGATCCAGGGGCGCACACCTGCTCCCATGCCCTCCTGGACTGGAGGCATGCAGTGGCACAGTGTGACAGAAGCCCCCCTCCCAGAGTCCCACACACCCCTTGCCCCAGCTGGGCAACTTATCCCAGCTCTACTCCCTCCCTCACTGTAGGGGTGTTGATCTGCCTCTCCCCATGCCCCTTCCTGACCCCATCTGCCCACCATAACTGACTTACCAGCTGGAGGCAGCCGTGTCCAGTATCCTCGAGGACTGCTGCCTGTTTAGTTTATGGCCGTATCTCTGAATCAGTACCGAATCGGCACTGCATCTTCGGATCCGAATCAGCCAAATCCGAGTACTTGCTGCTTTGCACAGGCCTAGTCTACAACTTGACTTCCTAAATTCAACAAGCAGCATTTCCTTTTTGAGCACCATGTCATTTTTTTAAAGCATGCTAGCCTGTAGCAAATCAGCATAACTAACCTCTTCTTTCATGCTTCGAAGGAACTCATTCTACCAACTGGTATTATATTTTTTATGGAAATACTCAAATATGCTCTTTATACATTTAATCAAATGACAGTGGCAACCCTTGCCTAATATTTAAAGTAGATTATAAACATTTAAGTCATTCAGAAGTTCTTATTTTTTGTACACTGAGCTATAACTAGTTTTGTTGGGTTTTTTTAATTGGCCACAAGAGAGAATAACTGTTTTTTGTTCTTTTTTACAAATGTAAAAGTTATACTACTAAGGAAACATGTGCTTTCTCAAAGAAACTGTTTTGGTTTTGAACATACAATATAATCTTCCACATAAAAAGACTTCATACAAATCTGATTTCATTAAAATTCAAGACATACATTAACTGCATTTTGGCAGTGTTTTAGAAATGGATAAATTCTGAAATGTCTTATGCAATATTAACAAGTAAACAAGGTAACATTTTGAGAAATTATATTTGGGCATTCCACACTTCTTTATTAACAAAATTCTTCGCAACTTGAAGGAATTTCTTTTGAACAGGACATTAATAAGTATTTACAGAACCCCTCAGGAAATCTGGCTTCTTAGTTGAGATTTTCTCTTATTTTTGCTTGAGGTTGCAATAGGACGGATGCATGGACAGTGAGCTAAAATGATATTCTTGAAAGAGACCTTGAGGAGTATCATGGTGTTGAGAACCTTTTAATGCTGTTCATATGAATTCCTGAATTGCTAAATCGTTCTTGTCCACTGACATCTTTTGTACTTGCTTTGCCTTGAAAGCAGAAGTGTCTGTGTTTTTTAAATCTTGCTTTTTGGTTATACTTGGCTTAGTTTTTTTCTAATGATTTTTGAAGATGTAGCTGGAGAGAGAGAGGTTTTCAATTTGCTTCCACTGAAATTACTCTGTGTGTGAGTTGCTCTTTGGGATGTCAGTCCTCTTGGGAGCACAGCCTCATTATTTCTTCCATCAATTCCTTGAACAGCCTTAGTGGTGTTTTTTTTGAAGTAAAATGTTTTGTGAAGCAGGTGAGGTTATAATCCAAAGTAAAAGCAGGTGCAACAGTGGCTTTCAAAAAGTTGTCTGTATTCCTGAAAGTAGTTCCCCAAAAATCACTGCATCTTTTTAAATCACTCAACAGTGCAAACGTTCTAGCTACCTCAGCCCTAAAGTTCATCCAGTCTTCCAGGCTAATGTTAAAATTCCTTCTGAAATTATACACACTTTCATTTAGTCTGTACAAGGATTCAAGTTCTGGCCAGTTTTATATCCTCACTGAGGTCCAACAGTTGCAGGAGGTTAGCCCTCCCATCCTTCCCACAGTTGTCCTCTTTAAAATAAAACAAACACAAGTTAGTGTAAGGTAACTGAAAATGTAAATTGCTTTTAACTAGTGCCCTGCAAGAAAAAAAACACTTGACGTGTAATTGTGGACTACCTGTATACCTATTTAAAAAAAAAAAAAAAAAAAATTCACCATGTGTCAAAGTGGATTTGCTCGAAACAAGTATCAGCTTCTTAAAGTGAGGCCTAAAAAGAATATATAGTCTGTATGGTATAGGGCTGTCAGACTATTCAATTTGATTGTTATTAGTTGCGTGATTAAAAAAATTAGTAGCAATTAATCACAAGTTTAATAGCACAGCTAAAAACTCAGTTATGCAAAATTGTGCAGGTACTTTGTATGGTTGGGGGTGTGGGTGTGGAGGGAAATTTGTGAAAGTGTGTGGGGTTTGTAGCTGGGGGTAGGGGGAGGTTGGGTTTAGGTCTGGTGAAAGGGGTGGCCCAGCCTTCCCCCGAGCGCTGCAGTCCCTGCTTCTGTTGGGCTCAGGCACCTTGCGTGACGTCAGCTGGGGGAGCGTGCCCAGGAAGAGCAGCACAGACCCTGGGCAGCCAGGACCAAAAGCACGTAC